CAGGGGCTTCTTGAAATGAGAAGTCCAGAAACGTGGGCCTAATGCCTTTAACAGACTTAATGTCTAATAAATTCTATCTGTGTTACTCTATTACAGGTATGGAATAAAAATCTCTTATTAGAGGTAAAGAAGTAGTTCTAGCTGGTGATATCTTGAGAGAATCACAATTTTACAGAGGCAGTGTCAGCAGCATGGTGTGACTGTGAGTCCCAGGGCACACAAACTATGGGGCAGCATGTAGACAGTCCAGCCCACTTGAGAGAATGTGGTGTGGCTATCAGCAGCAGGGGTTAGAAGTCTGTGCTGAGGTCTGGAATCTTCTCTGCTTGTTTCCTGATACTGGCTGGGAGGAAATGTCAAAATACTGAAAAGAGGCTATTTTTACAATATTTATGAGCCAGGTGTAAGGAAGAAGCATCTGAACCCCCATAGGAACTTGCCTTGAGCTTAGCAGTGCATGCCTGAGGGGTCCCACTAATTACTGCAAAGTATTCATAGTGGTGGGAGTTATGAGGCTTGCATCCCCTTAGTTGCAATAATTCTGGCCAGTTAACTTTTGTTGCTGTCAGTATTTGAATTTTTGAATGGTTTAATTTTGTCCCCTCTAGAATTGGAAAGTCAGTAAATGAGAAAATTTGTGTTTACAGGCACAATACTATTAAAAGTAGGTGCAAAGCAAGGGTTGCTCTGAAGCAAAAATGAAGTTTAGGTTAGAGTTAAGGCTTCCTGTTAGTAAATACAACTCTGGGACTAGAGGATATCTCTGTGCAGTAGTGTTTATACTGTACCAGATGAAACATTTAAAAGTTGGATGTTGAAAAAGCAGCCCCCAAAGTAGCTAATGGACATTCTGGCCCTGGCCACAATAGTAGCTGCCATTGCTGCCACAGGAGCTGCACTGTTTCCTTGCCTGTTCTCTATCTCAATTTGGCAGTTTAAAAAAGTGTTGTACAATAAATACTCCAGGGACTTCCACATGATTGCTAAAAAACCTAAACTGCATTTAGTTTGTTTATAAAAAGTCCTGGGGCCCTGCTCTGCAGAGCAAGGGTCATGGAAACACATGTTTATGGCTTCACAAATGCTCTATACTCCTTGAATGGAGAAGTTTATTTGATTTAATCAGCATCCACAGGGATCCTGTAATTGCATAATAGGTAATTTATTATGGAAGTAAAAGTATTTTTCTAACTGTAGCCTATGTAGCAAGGGTTTGTAGCTTTAGACTAATCCATATAGTAAAAAAGAGCTTTGCAAAGCAGTCTGACTGGAGTAATGGTGCTCTGTGATGAGTGCATACTTGTATAGCTTTTTAATCATCAGAAAGTGTTAAAACAACAAGCACATTATCACCATGTTGAATGTGAAAACTGTTCAGTGTTTGCCTGCCTTCTGCAATTTGAAGTGCTCCATGTGAGAAAATGGAAAGCCAGCCCAGATGATCCAGTTAGAGGGAAGTGAATATGAGAGTAGGGAATCCAAAGTTTGTCTTTTTGACATACACTGGAACATGGCCTTTCATCTACTTCTGCAAAGGAAAGTGGCCTTTCATCCTGGATAGTGAGTTAAAAACAGATATATTTGTTTTTTTAACAAAAGGAAGTAAAATCAAACCTAGAGCTGTTTAGCTGTCATAGTCTTTGCTGACATAATCATCAACTGTGTCACGAAACCAGGCAATTCTTGCACAGCCATATAATTTATAATTCTGGCTGTCCTGAAAAGCTGCAAGCCAACATGCATCTGTTCTGAAAAAAGCTTCTGGGACTCCATATTATGGTTGTTGTTGATAATCCAATTTGCCAGCTTGTCTTAAACTGAGGAGAGCGGTTGAAGAACTCCAACTCCCAACAGACTTTTGCAGTTTTAGAGGGAAAACTTGGGAAATCAGTTTGGTATTTCCTGAGGTTCAGAGAGCTGAAGTTTTCTTTCCAACATCCAATGACTTCAGTAACACCAGAAGTAGGTTGTTCTGCATTTCCTGTGAATGTTTGTGACGTCTTAATTTTCTTGCTGAACTTGGAATTCATATTTTCATATCTGAATAAAAGCTAAAAACCGAGAAACGTTAACTTCTTTGGTAACTCGAAGACTTTGAAGCTTTTAGCTATACTTAAAGTTTATAAGCCTCAGTCCATGGAAACTTTGGACCATCACCTCCTTCTCAGCTTCATTTATATCCTGGTCCATAGAAATATCCTCTTCCCTAGTGCTTCTCCATGGGTGTGCTGTGTCATACATGTCAGGACTAGATTATTAATGCTTATCTCTCAAGGAAAACTATAGTCTAAGTGTTCTTTAGATCAATGAAGTAAGATTAAATAGCCTAGTATAGTTAAAAAAATATGGTCCTAGTAATGGCAGGAAATCCAAAGATCCATTTTGAGGAGATAGCAGTATGAATTTGGGCATTTTACACCTGAGGGTAGGAAGGAAGGTAGGAATGAGAGACAGAAAAGGGTATTAAGTCCCACCTTTCACTGCAATGTTTTTGTGTGGTTTTATTTACCTCTGTGTCCTCCTTTTTATTTTATTGTCTGAAGATATTGTGTGTTTTCCTCCAATTTATACTTAAAAATATTTTGATTATTTTCATTTTCCCCACAAGAACATTTTCTGCTTGTTTGGAGAATATTTTTTTTAATTTCTTTTGTGATTCTTCAGACTTTTGTTTCCTGTTCATGCCTATGTATAATTCACAGAAATCAGCAATTTTAAGCTGTAATAAATATATGAATCCTCTCTTCATGTTTAACATAGTATTCGAAGCGAGATGAATCCTGATGGCCTTCCATGAAGTAAATTATTTATTTTTAAGTGATTCCTATACACTTTTTAAGTGAGTCGATGTTTTAATGCATACTGTCCTCAGCAACCTGAAGGCACAAGCTGAAGAAACAGGGTCTCCTTCACACAGATCCATGTACACACGTGTACACAGATTTGTGTGATTAGTGTGCCATTTCATAACCTTTAAATGCCCATCAGTTCCACTCATTCCCTTTCTTTGGCACATCGACGCTATTGGAGGTTCCACTGTTCACTGGTTGTGTCAAGCTCAAGGCACAGAGCACCAGAACCAGTCCAGGAGCAGCAGGATTGCACCCTAAAGGACAAGGTGAAGAACATGTTAATCTAGCATTTGTGACACAAGCAAAAAGGATTGTAACTTTTGTCCTTGTTTAACTTTCTCACTGAAACAGCAGAAGTTAGGGCAGAAAGTATCACTGTGCCTACTGTCAGAGTTCTTTCTGAATATTTAATGTTTCCTATCCTTGGGATAGGAGCTCAGATATGAGCAGCAGCAAAGAACAGACAGAATGCCTCTTTGTGCTGCATGGCTTGAAATGTGATGACTGCATGTTTGGGCTGCCATCTCTCTATTATTTTACATAAGGAGCTAATAATTTATATTTTGAGAGCTGTATGGGTGAATGGTGACATTAAGAAAGCAATTAAAATTCTACTATAGTCCATGTAAAATATGTATTGCTAGTGAAAGAGCTGAATAAATCCAAGAGAAATTAAGATTGCCCAGATCAGCCCTCCTGTATTTATTACATATTTCATTGTCTGTAAAACAGAGACTCTTTAGAATAAGCAGGTTTGTCTGAGGGTTTGTTTGTTTGCTTGTTTGCTTCCCTGGGCATTCACAACAATGTTAATGCTCTGAAGTAAGAGGAGAAAGCTGGCAACAAGCTTAGATATGAAATGAAGGAGTGAAGGCATCTACAGGGAATTTTGTTCTTTTGGAAATCCACATAATGTTATGGTACAGAAGAATTTGGTTAAGTTGGCTGAGAGTTCATCTGTTCCTACTGCAGTCTTATCTGTTATTGTGGATTCTTTTCTGCCAAAGGTCACCAATAGATATAAAACAGCTATTCTGATGAAAAATACCAATAATCTCTCTTTTTGACTTTCACACACAGAGATTCCGTTTGGCCAGAACTAGTGTTAGCTAATACAAGTCTAAGTTAGTGCCAAAAAAGCTATTCTATATTACACCAAATGAGAACCTGGCTCAAAACTCTTTTTTTTTTTTTTCATTTTTATTTTTAATATGCCCCTACATTTCCATGAATGACTAATTTTTCCATAAATTGTATCTTTGTGTGGGCCTCTTGTTAATCCTACAGATTCTCACTGTGGGTTGATGATTTAGTCTGCATCATTCAATAGTTGTGTATATCTCCTGGTCTCCAAGATATGATGGAAGCTTGATGGTGAAGACCACTGCCAAATCCGAACTGCTCAAGTATGAGGGGCCTTTCCATGTTTCCTTATTTTTTCCATTGTGTAGTTCTAAGTCACTGGTCTCATTACCCCTGCTAAATTGTGGTAGATCACTCAAGCTTTCACTGTGTCTCTCCTGCTCACATTTTCACCTTTTCTTTCACCATCAGTTGATCTCCACATTTCTCATTCCCTCCCCAAGCCTTTCCTTAGTCCATTTTTTTTCTCTCCCAAACTGCCTTTTAGTAGCCAATGAGTTTTCTGTCCATTCATTTCAGCCCTTGTTGCCCTGTTCCACATCACTCCTACTTGCCCTATTCCAGGTTTTGCATTTAGAGAAAAGGTTGATGAAAAACAGGCTTGGAAAGTGAGATCCATTGAGCAATATCAACCGGGGGTTGCTCTTGTTGGAACTTATAACTGAAGCCTTTGAGGCAAAGAGCAGTTTAAAAGATATTAGATAGCAAGATGCTTATCTAAGAATGCTGAACTAATCAAACCAAATTTCATATGTTTATGAGCAAACAGACTGTTGTGCACATGTGGAAGGAATGCAGCCTTTCCCAGAGACCACCCTTAACATCCTTTTCTTTTGAGACAGTTCTGATGTTGGAGCCATCAATGTACATCTCTAGCTTTAGTACATCTTTCTTAGATCTCACTACTTGGCGTAGTCAAAGACTGTAAGAAGACTTCATTGTTAAATAATATATGCATGGGTTTTAGTTTCAAATTCCTTTTTTCTTTCCTTCCTTCTCCTTTAGGCTGTAAGAGAAAAATTAGAGCCAGATGATGCCTTGATGTATGAAGAAGATCTGGATGACGATGACTGTGGAGAAGCAGAATTTGAGGAGACCATGAAATTAAAACTGCTGCGTAGAATTGCCTTCCTAGCATCCAAACTGAGGGAGTTTATTGGCAATATGATAATCACCACTGGAAAAGTTGTTGTTACAATTTTACTTGGTTCAGCAGGTTGGTGTATTTGAAAAATTTCCTCAGGAGCCCATTAGGTTATGCATTTAACAAATGAGTTTTCAGCACTTTGGCACCTGCGGGAGTAACAATGGAAATTTTTAAGAGAAAAGAAATGGCTGCTGGTTTTATTAAATTAACTCTTTGGCAGGTATTGGAATATGCTGAGTTGCTTAATTTTTTGGTACTGATACTGTGTGGCCCTGTCATTCTGTTTATGATTTTTACAGCTGTTCTTATAACTAAAGAGTGAATGGGGGGCATATTATAAATAACTGTATATATTCTCTGTGTGTGTATATATATATATATATATATACATACATTTGTATTTTTATTAAAGTGAATGAATAGATTTGGTTTCATCACTTCTAAGTGTAAAAAGGAGTTACCAGCAGCGTCCCCTTCACCAGGTGGATATTTTCTCAAGTGGCATACTGGGCTACATGTGCAAAAGCAAAAGCAATATACATGTGTGTGACAGCAGAGTATTTGTCATATGTAAATTACACATTTCTAGGAGTTAACAATTTTAAAAAATCAAACATTTACTGATTATTCTGTAGATTTTATGTAAATCTCTTCATTTCAATAAATGAATCAGTTTTGTTTTAATATGTCAAGGTATTTCAATATGTGTATGAGGTGGCTTTCCACTGTTCATCCATCATGTCTCCTTAGCACCTTATACTTAAAATTCATACACCAGTGGTCTCAGGCAGTATTATCTGCCCTTCCAGCCACTTCCTGTTTTTCTCCATGCTTTATGAAACATATTTGCATAGAGAAAATTCCATCTGAGAGGAAATGAGAGAGAAAATTCTCTTGTCTGGAGAATGTTGTGTTGTAAGTGCTGAGATATGGCATAAGTGAATTGAACAAATAAAAAAAAAATTTTAAAAAAAGGAGATCCCTCTCTTCTAGTCTCAAAGTTAATAGCAGTCTTTAGAGCTAATTGTAATAATTAGCAGAAAACTGATTGGATTAATTTTTTTAATACACATCTTGTCAAACTTAAGGTTTAACAAATGCTGATATTTCCCACACTTCTCTAACACGCCATGTTTTTATTTTTACAGGTATGATGGTGCCATCTTTGACCTCAGCTGTTTATTTCTTTGTGTTTTTGGGCCTGTGCACATGGTGGTCCTGTTGCCAAGCATTTGATCCGCTGATATTCAGCTGTCTGTGTGTCTTAATGGCCATATTCAGTGCGGGACACTTAATTGGACTTTATCTGTACCAGCTACAGTTCTTTCAGGAGGTTGTTCCACCAAAAGATTTCTATGCCAGGTGAGAGATACTCCTTTCCTGTTTAATTGTGGGCATGTGACACAATGTGCTGTTACCACATGTTGATGCAAATGACCTCCCACATAATGCTTTAACAAATTTTGTACATACCTTCTTGTTCAGTCATGGAAGAGTCAAACCATTTAAGAAGTGTGAAAGTCCAGACTGGGTAATTGCAGACAGATGGAGCAGGTTAGGAGGGGAATGGGACTTTTGATTTTGCTCAGAGTGTTCCTCAGATGTGAGTGTAAATGATTTGGCCAATGCAGGAAATAAAGGAAATAGATGGCAACATTGATACAAGGGCAAGTGTACAAATGCACGTTTGGGTTTTTGTAGAATAAAATTGAATCCTCTGGTGTTTAATGTCATGGTGTCTTAACTGGAGCAAAATGTTTTTGTGGCGGCATTCTTGTGTGCTGAGGGCTGCTGGGGTCCATCATGTACTGTGCATCTTAGGTGGTTGGTATAAAAATTTGCTATGGTCACATAGAATCACATAGAACATGCTGATCTCAGTAACAACAACTGCTTCACTTATGTAAAAAAGCAGCATTTCTAGTTGCTTCTGCAGAAAATATTGACTGGCTGTGATTTCACTGACCCTTTAATTTTCTACATACTGTAATCTAAAATAAGAAGTAAATGACATACTGTGCTCATTACTATTTTTTTCTGCTGGATTACGACTGCAAATTGGTTTATATAGTATGTATTTTCACTGTTGTAGTGATCCTTACATTAAACTAAATGTGAACATTAACTTTATTTCTAGTAAAACTATTGTTCCTTTTAACTATTATAAGCTGAAGGTGAAAGGAAATTAGAGGTACTGCGGAAGAATCAATTATTTATTTCTCAATGCACTATTAAAAGAAGTAAGACTGAGCTGTCTAGCTACAGTAGCTGTTACTTTAGTACTTATTTGAACATTTTATTTAATACATCTTAACAGACATGTGTTTTGTGGTGTTAGAATTGTTGAGTTTGGGAGTCTGATTGGGAGGGCATAACATTACCTAAAAAAATCAGAAAAACCTGCTTTGTTTAGGTTCTTTTGTGCCACCTAGAGGTCGAGGTAGCGGAATGGATGATTTCTATTCCAAGAAGATGAAATGCTCTCAACTTCCCTAAAGCTTTTGATTTACTTCCTCCATGTATTAAGAAAATAAAAATGGTTTCAAAATTCTCAACCATTTGGCTTTGAGTATATCTACTCAAAGTTTTTAGCAGCCTTCAGCAATAACATTTTCTTAAGGAGAAGAAATGTGTGCTTCATAAAATTCAGCTACAATATGTGAAACTTTCTTCATATGAATAATTTGTGAAGTCCCTTTTTTATTTTAGTATTTTTTCTGTTAATTTTTAATTAATTTATTTGTTCCAATTAATTTAGTCTCAAGATAATTGTCTGCAATTAGTAATTTCTTTTATTTTAAATAACATGATTCTTCATTTTATGACAAAATTTTGTTCAGTACAAATATGGCACTTTAACTTAGTCATTAATTTTTGAAATGAAAAAATCAACTGCAAGAAAGTTGCCTCTGCCTTGGTGTAGAAAAGAAAAGCACCTTCAGAGTCTGGGTTAAAAAAGTCCCAGCGTTGGACTTCAGAGTATGTACTGACATTTTTGTAACTAAAAAAGAATGTGTTACCTTCCTGAAGACTTTCTCTTGAGCTGGTAGTGTTGAGTACTCTGCCTTTTTCACATGAAATCATGTGAGGGACTGATGTTCTAAATTATGTGGGAGATTATGTTTGAATATACAACAACAATGTACACACAATGGCAGCAGAAGGAGCAGTATTCATTGTTCATTTGCAGGTCTTTTTATCGTGGATCTTTGATCTGCTTTCAGGGAGATGTCTTTGAAGAGCATCAAGACAGGTGTTATCAGAGCTTGGAAGTGAAAATCTTAGTGTGAGAAAGCCACTGATGATTTTTAGTGGTCGAGTCAAGCTGATATATAAGCAGTGGCTAGAGGAGGAAAAATGAGAGACGTGTATTGGAATGCTGCAGAAAAAATATTTTAGCATTTTTCATCCTAGAGGAAAATCGATACCTTGCTATTTTATGTACAGTCTTGGTTTGAAGATGTGCTAAATATGCAGAGTTCCCATTAATATTAGTACATGGCTTTCATGGGCAAATTATATGCCAAGAAAAGAATTTGATTCCCCAAATTCTTGCGACAAGAAGGACATTGAGGTGCTGGAGTATGCCTAGAGAAGGGCAACAAAAGCTGGTGAAAGGTCTGGAGCTGAAGTCTTATGAGGAATATCTGAGGGAACTAGAGTTGTTCTGGAGGAGATTTGGGGGGAAGCCTGGAGAAAAGAAGGCTCAGCCATGACCTTGTGGCTCTCTAAAAACAGGTTGTAGTGAGGTGGGGGTTGATGTCTTCTGCTGTCACTCTCTTGTCAGGACAAGAGGAAATGATCTCAAGTGACACCAGAGGAGGTTTGGATTGGACATTAGGGAAACTTTCTGCACCAGAAGAATTGTCTGCCATTGGAATAGTCTGCTCAGGAAAGGGGTCAAGTCACCATCCCTGGAGATACTTAGAAGATCTGTAAACATGGCACTTAGGGACATGGTTTAGTGATGGATTTGGCAGTGTTGGATTAATGGTTGGACTCAATGATATTAGAGGTCTTTTCCAGCCTAAATGTGATTCCATATGAAAGAAGGACTTTTATTTCTCTGTATTTGAGGGCTCAATCCCCTGAATAAGCTCTCCTGAATTTAAAGGGAAGATGTGAAAACTGCTCCTGTTGGGCTGCTGGTGGACATTTTTTCTCTCTGTAGAAAGTCAGTCTGGTGTTTTAAAAAGCTCCTTTCCGGGTTTGAGTTCTCAAGTTTACAAGAAATGTATGAGTGGTTTCTCTGATCAATAAAAAATGTGTTTTCTCTGAATAGTAATGCATTCAGCTTGTCAGACTATCGATTGATTTCAGACTAAATAAAGTTAAACTACACCCAAACAAACCGGAAAATTCTCAAGTCAACAGTATTATTCAGCTAAGATTTTCATCATCCTTGAGCTGTTCCTTTCTTTTGAGAACTCTTCAACTCAAAATTCACCATTTGTGATTGTAAGAAGTGGCTGAACAATGTCACCAGAGGAAAGCAGTTTTCTTGGGAGGGATAACCTGAAATCTGGTGAATTACATGTTTTGCCCTAAAACCTTATGGGATTGTGCAAACAAAGTGCTTCCCCCACCAAAATAGGATATTATGATAACATAGCCCTAAGTACTTGCCCTAAGAGTGATATTACTGAACACTGAAGTATTGATGTCCTACAAAGTTTTGCTTCTGCTGCTGTGGCTGTGTGAATTTGTGATGTGCAGGTAGAAGTGGCAGAAACACAAACACACCAAAATTCCCTGGAGCGAGCTCTGGGATCTGCAGATTGAAAAAGGTACAGTGTACTGAAAAATCTGAATAGAGTTGGTCTGCCAGGGGTAGGCATGCTGCCAGCAAATCAATATTGCAAATTGATGCAATATTGCAAATATTGCAAAGATGGGGAAAAACTACAAGAGGTATCCATATAAAGCAAAATTCAGAAAGTATTATATTTCTACCATAAAGTTCTTTTCACCCAGGCTAGTAAAAACAAGTCAATGAGCTAAAATGACTTTAGAAATTAGGTACACCGTGTCACAGCCTGAAAAAATACACAGTAATATGTCTGCCATTTTTCAGATTGCTGCCTCCTTTCTTCCTGATATTGTTTATTTTGGCAAAAGAATGTAATTGGGGAACTGATAAGGCCTTGCCAACATGAAGAAATAGAATCAGTGCAGAGGCATGAGGTTTGTCCTGAGTCAGTAGAGTTACTCCTGTCTAAAACTATGCTTATAAACATATTAATTTAAATATCCAGCAATCCAATGTACATTAAAAGCTTTGTGCTTTCCTATAGTTTAGCCCTGTCTTGCTGTAGTTTCCAGGCAAGTAATGTTTAAAATAGTTCAAATACAACTGGTTTGTATTTATGAAAGCATCTCCCTTACAAAATGAGGCAAACCTGGGAGTCCAGGTAGTGTCATCCACTTCACAGTCATACCTTGTTTCACTCCTTCTTAAGTGAATGGGAATTTGGATTTACACAACTGATTGCTTTGCTGCAGTATGAGTTGAGAAGTCTAATCTAAGGAGTTTTGTTCAAGGGGAAATTTTCATCTGAAAGTTATCTATAAATCTATTTAGTAGGACTTTTAAAATAGGTTTTACAGTAACTAATAATAAGCCTGCTTAAATTATTCTTTTACTTTTGGAGAAAAGATATCTGCTACAGATGGTAGATTTAGGATATTCAGTTTGTTTTCAGATTAATCTGAGAAGAGTCCAATCCAAATCCTTCATTTGGACTTCCCTGGAAGCTTTGATACAGATTCAGATTTTGTAGCCCAAATATTCTGTTCAACCAGGGTTATAAATGCTTAAGCACTGTCTCAAAAATGTTCCTGGAGTTGTCAAATCAGGGTTGGACATCCAGCTGTAATATTTTTTTTGCTAAATTAGAGGCTAAACTTCCAAATAAAATCCCATTAGGAGATCAGATATTGCCAAAATAGAGATGTAGCTGACTGATTACCTCTGCAGGGCAAGGCACTGATCTCCTACTCTGCTGTTGCTTCTGTAGCTCCACTGGAGCCAAGAGCTAGGCAACATGTTTCACCTGAGCTGCAGCCACTTCTAATCCTTGCTCCAGACCATCTTTGGCACCTGTCTCAAAAGTGACTCACCTCTGAGAGGCAGAATTTTCTTAACCTTGTAGGAAACGCTGAGGTTTTTGGGGTTGCCTTTTGACTTGGTCACAAGCCAGTGTTTGAAAAGATGGAGTATTTAAAGCTCATTTATGTATCCTATACTGAACTGCCCTTTGGCTGCAGTAGCTTTCATGCCCTCTGCTTGGTATTTTTAGGGGCTTTTCATCATGGATGAGAAGCAGAACACCACTGCCAAGTATCCAGGCCAGACCCTTGGA